TGAACTCTTTGCAGATTAAATCTTAATGCTTGCATGAATTTAAGTAAAAGCTGTTTTGTGAGAATTACAGTACTTAAATTATTTAGAAGAATATATTAAGTAGAACCAGAAGTGATAATTTATCATTTAACAGATAATCCAGTACTGTATGAAGCTGATGCAGCTTATGAGAGAAGTGATTTTTAAAATACTTCTTATGCAATTTTGAAAAGTCAGTTTTTTAAAAAAACATATTGTCCAGGATAATTCTTGAATTTATCACTTCCCTGGGCAGTTTTAGTTCTTTTCTTACCTTCCTTTCAAATTTATTTTAATAACTTCAAACAGTTTTAAATTTAAATTTTTGTTACAGACAAGTTGCAAGAATAGGACAAAGAACTTCTCTTCATCCAGAGTTAACAATAAACATTTTTCCACATTCACTTTATAACTCCGTCCTCTCTGTGTATACACATATATGCAGTATTTTTCTGCAGTCATTTGCGCTTTAGTTGCAAACATCATACTTCTTTACCCCTGAAGTACTTGAGTGTTTAACAGTGTTTTTGTCCCTTAGATTAAGCTCAATTATGAAATCTTTTGGCTTTTCTGGGAGCTTTAATTTTTTCACTTTTAACAGCTCTATTGAGATTTAATTCATACACCACACAGCTTATTTTAGACTGCGTTTTTGTCTCTTCCTCTCACTGGCTGTTGCTGGAACAGTGCTGTGCCTGGCTGAGCGAATGGTTTCTTTTGGAGCTGTTAAAGCTGCCGTAAGAGATCAGCTGACAGGTATACTATACCTACAGACAAGGCTTCTCCCAGAGTTTGGGTTGAAATTGACCCACCCAACAATTGCTAAAAACACTAAGACAAAATATTTGTCCAGTTTGTGAATGTACCTACAAAAAGTTATTTGAAATTTGATACTCAAGTCATCATTTTACAATAAATAGTGTTAGCAAAAATAGATCTAAAAGTTGTAATTTCTCTGAATTTTTTATCTTGAAGGAAGAAAGCTATCTTTAGAATTTAAAAATAAAGATTCAGGCTCTTTAGGTTTCATGCTTCATTCTGGAGTAGCATGAGAGATGTTTGAATGGCTGACTTCCATTTTTGCTTTGACTCGGGATGGTTTGCCTTTTTTTTTTAATGCTTGGGGATCACTGTATTGTTACTGATTTAATAGTTATATCTAAACTATTAGAAAGCCAAGTTTTGGAGTATGTAACTCCTACTTAAATATTTCTCTCTTTTCCCCCACCAGGGACGAACTGTAAAAGCAACATCAGCTCGACCAGTATATAATATTACAGTGGATTTGCTCATCTCAGTCCTCAAGGCTTTCTGAAAACCAACAGCATCACAGCTTGTGTTGGACTTTGTTACACTATTATTTCCAGCATGAAAATGTGTGGTTTAATAGAGTTGCTAATATTTCAAAGAGGCAGAGAAGCCAAATTGTAGAGGAAGGATGCAAAGTGTAAATTTGTATATTATTACTTTAACATGCCCACATTTTACTTTAAAATGTTAAAAGAAGGGGTTCTGCAGAGTGGAAGACTTAGTTTGTGAATTGATTTTGAGGAGTGGTTTTTCTTAAACACTTAATTCTGTTCTAATATTCATCTATCAGATGACTTTGTGCATCAGATAACACCACCATCACACTTTTAAGATTCTTGGTTTTTGAATGTCTGTTAGATGCTACTAAGAAACCAGAGATGAGCTTCCTTTTTTAAAGCTTTTGATGTGGTGTCATAGAATAGCATGTTGTAGATACAATCAGCTGCTTTGTTACCTTACAACTAAGCATTTGTAAACATTAAAACTGAAGGTGGCAGGTGATGTCCTTTAACACACAGCTGTTAAAATTGGGCATAACTGACATAGTTCTTTCTCTTTAAAAATTATAGGATACTTGTAGCTCAATATTGTTTCTTCTGTTTCTGATTTACTGCTAACAATGTATATGAATTTAACATGCTGTGTAAGCTGTGTCCTAGTCACTGAACAGTTTATGCAGTGCTGCTTTGCCAAATAAAGTTACAAGTAAAAGAGGCATTGGTGGTGTTTGAATACAGAGGAAAATCCTCATGTCTGCCGGATGCAGAATGCTGACTGAGATCACAGATAAAAGGGCTTCTCTTCTGCTTTGCTTTGTGAAATCATGGTAGGTTAATACTGTTACTCCAGGTGTGTATTTGTAGAATGTGACTATGTTTCTTGAAAACAAGGACTGTACCTCATCATTTTTCCTTGCCTAACAGGGCTTGGCCTCTTGTACAATACATGTTGAGTGAATGAATTGATTTAATGTCAGGGAAGAACATGGTTGAGGATACATTTACCAAAATTCATCTCTTATCTATAAATAGATTTATTAATATAATAATAGTAAAATCAGTTTCTAAGAAGGCAGCAGCACTTTGGGATCTTGTTTAAATGTTGTAGTTTTATACCTATTATAACAGGTATCAGTTTTTCTAAGGGGTCTGGAACTTTAAGAAATAGAAGCTCTAGTCCTTGCAGAATTAGTACTCCCAGCAAAGCCCCTCCGTCTGCTCTGTGCGAGTGTGTATGATTCTAGCAAGTAGATCCTTAGGAGGTGAGGAGCCTTTGTCAAAGTCTTCTTTAAAAATGGCTTTTAAAAAAATTATGCACACTTCTTTTCACTATTGTCTCTTCTTGGCCAAGGTCTTAAACACAGGAAGCCATCATTGGTCGGTGGCCAGTTTGTGAGTTTAAGTTCGTTGCTGGCTTCAGTTTGCAGTTGTTGGTATTCCTTCTGGATCCAGGCCATGAACTCTTTTGGTCCAGGACTCAGTGTCATCTGAGGTAGTTTCAAAGGTCAAATACGCTTTAGAACTTTAATTCTTAAACGTATCCACTAGTTGTATCCTTCATAGTCATTATCAATATTTTTAAATACGTAAATCTCCAGGTTAGCTCTTGGAGACAGAAAAAGGCCTTTCTCTCAAGGAGTTTACAATCTGACTGAAAGGACAGTTTATAAATTCAATAGGACATAGTGCTACCTGAAAGGTATAGACAAATGCTATGCCAAACATTGCTGTTAAACTTTACACTTTTGTGAATTTAAATTTTAGAATGTTGAGCATAAACAAATGGGTAGAGATGGAAATTATGAACTTTAGGTCTAAAAGTTTTTCTCTTTAAGAGAGTTGAACATGCATGTGTGTGTGTGTGTACATCAGATAGCAAATGTCTTGTTAATCTTTAGTATTTCATAATCTTCAAAATACTTCAGCATTTCATTTTTCCTCAATAGAAGTGATTTCTTTACATAATATAAATGGCAACAATGAAAATATTTTTAAAAGCTTCAATCTAATAAGGTCCTGTTGTGACACAAAGTTTTTTTTACAGATTTGATTTTATTAAAGGAACAAATCTAACTCTAATTTAGTAAAGATTATAGTTTCTAAAGAGGGTTTCAACTCTTTCCCAACCAGTAACATTAGAAGAAAAAATGGCATTTTGGAGAAAATGATACATTAACATTGAGCAAATATTTAAAATCCTATTTATTTACCTAATTTTTAAAAATTGCCATAAAAGAAGGCTGATTACAGTTTTTAAATTGACTATAAGGTACCTATCCTAAAACATCTTAAACATTCAAAGTATTTTAAAATGGTAAGTTTTTAGTAATAACTTAATATCATGAGTATTGTAACCCATTTTAGGCATCTGATTGTTAGCCAAGAAATAAAGCTTAATTTTGTTTTTATTAGAGAGGCAAGTGTTTGTGATTTTTCAGCTAAATGTTAACTGATTTTCCAGTAGTTTGTTATGGCATTAAAGGAACCCGTATGACTATGGTAACTGAATACTAGTAAGTACAAACATGGGTAATCTTTAAAATGGTCTAAATGGATTTAAAAAGTCCGTAACTTACTTTAGGTAAGTGCTAAAGTTATTGCAGGGTAGAAATCATTTCCTGTAACTTACTGTGTTCTTAAAAAACTATATTCAGTTAAACAAATGAGTTCTGATCAGATTTCAGTTTCATCTCTTTCGATTTCTCCTATTTTTCAGATAGAGGACAGTGTTTTTTTCCCACTGTACTTAAAGGGTGGCTCAAATAGAATGCCAGTAAAAAAAAAAAAAATCCTGCTTGAAGACAACTGGCTGGCCCATGGGGTGCAAGGAAATTTGTGTATTGTAATATGATAAAAAAGAACACTTGTCTGATAATTTCCTCATCCTTACTCCTCTGTCATTGCTGTAATAGTGTCGTTGGCTCCCCACTTCAGGCTTCATCTTGTTAACTGACTTTGTGTTGTTTGGGCCAGGACTCTGTGAAGTGTTTCCTTGGTGGGAGAAGACATCTGACTGATAGTTCCCACAGGGGGCTACCCCCGGCCAGCAGATCCCTCGCCCTTCCTCTCTCTCCACCTCTTCCTTTCCCTTCCCCTCCATTTCCTTTCCCTTCACTTTCCTAATTGAGAGGAAGTTCCAGGGCTGCTGGATCTGAAGAACTTATTCTCAGGTGGAGTGTCCCAGTAGGATGGGCACCACTGAATAATTTTTATGTCCAAAGGACAGGTAATCGCAATTGTGGATAAAATGAAGGTTCCTGTGGCCAGGACTCACCTGGCCCTGGTTGGCTAGCTCAGTACACGTGTGGGGAATACAACGTTATTGACTCTACCAATAAAGAGCTCCGCCCAGTGCTCTGGGCTACATGGTGGCAGGGCTGCAAGGCTGCAGGAGAGCAGAGCAGAGGCTGGAGTGGTGGCAGCTCTGAGGACAGAGACTGGGATGGCTGTGCGGGCAGAGGGGACCAGAGGCAGAGACCGGCTTGCGGCATGCAGATTAGCTCTGAGAGAATGGGATTCTAGTGATTGACCTGTCACCATGGAAATAAAGTTGGGTATAACCCTTTCAGCTCAGGAATGTTCTGCTGTCATTTCTTTGGTCACATTGAATACATAGTGAACTTGACACCCTGAGCACTTTTCTGTGACCCCCACCAAAGTTACTAAAAAGGCTTAAGAATAAAATACAATTTATTAAAGGAATATAGTACACATAGATACAGGACATCTTTTTGCAAGTATTTCAACACCACAGCAATACTAAACTTTAATTTCTTCGTGTATAAAAGATGTGCTGAAAGACGTATGCCTCATCAGTTTCTAGTTTATTGAGTATGGCTGTAAGTGACATCCTTCTAGGGAAAAAACTACACAGCATCACATAGAGGGTACAAACATCTTAAGTTCATTCACACAGTCACTTCTCTGAACTCTCCTTGGGGAGAAATTTAAATCTCTGCTCAGTTCTGTGCATTCAACAAAATGAGTTTCTCAGGAAGTAAAAATACCAATTTATTTTTCCTAGATTTAATTTTCCATTTGTTATTCTGTTATGTCTCCAACCTAAATTAAGCCCCTTGTTAAAGGAACAACCTCTGGTTCAGTCTGGTAATAAAGTGTTCTGGAGTGTTTTCAAGTATTTTAAAAGATTTGCCACTTACAGTAAAAAAAATGTAAATAGGAACATCATGTGAGTATAGACAGGGACCACACTGTAGATTCCTCAGGATAATTTCTAGAATGTGTATAATCCAGGCATTCAGTGATGATGGGAATAACTGGCTTCAGAATCCTACCAACTGATTAGAAGGGAAAAGATGCAAAGCTAGATGCCAGTTTTTTGTAAACATGAATTTGTGAAAACTGCTTTTTGCTCTGGGAACACATAAGCCTGGCATTAGCTCATTGCACATTCTAACATTCTAATGCATTAAAGAAGTAATGGGGAAAACTGGCTTATTCCTTGGGATGAAAAAACCTGCTGATACTTAAATGTGACATTTTTACAAAAGGTGTTCCCCCAAAGCCATTCAATGTTCTGCTTTTCAACTTGAATGCATTTTTCTCCTCCATGAACACAGGCTAATGTTGAGAACTGACTGTGTAAATGAGCTGCTGTGTTCTGAACTCAAGCAGTGCTGAGTAGACAGAAGAAAATACCGATTGTCATCCTCGCTCACTTTGCCCTCAGCTAAATTTCTGATGATTATTGCCCTGCCAGGTTTTCTGAATCTACCTTGACTTCCTATCACCGCATGACTCTTGGGAAGAACACACATTCACCCTCTCTGAGGCCTCGGTGGCATGTCCGTGAGGATTACAATTTAGATATTCCTGCCATTAGGTAACGTTTCATTGAAGTTAGAAACTCAATTGAAATCCACTCTCAGGAACAGGTCTCGAAGGGAGAAGAGAAAGGAAACCACATAGCTGAATGGAAGAGGAGGGCCACAGAATGGGAAGTGGGCACAGGGAGCCAGGGCTGCCGGGAGCTGGGGAGGAGTTTCTGAAAAGCAAAGGGTTAGCACTGCCATTGGAAGGCCACCTTTTGGCATGCTGAATTTTCTGCCTTGGCCAACTACAAATTTCTATTTTTAGGGACTGCTTACATAAATAAAAATTAGAAAGCCTTTCATCATAAGAATTCCTCTCTTGTTTCAAAATATTTCACATACTTCCCAAGAAAATCTACAATAAATAAAAGGTTTGAGATTTTCAGAATCTTGTGGGATTTCAGTATTTTCTTAGCCCAGTAAAAAACAAAAGAGGTTGCAAATATACAGAACCCAATATACGTATAAGTTACAAGTGAAACATGTCATTGCCCCCAGCTACTTACATTACACTGCTTACAGATACATCCCATTTATGAGGTAGTCGGATTCCTCAGATGTAATGGGACGAGCTTTTTTAAGTTTCTGCTTCACCAGTCTCAGTCTGCAAGCAACCATGAGAAGCAGCAAAGCAGTGATGGTCAGACCCAGTGACAGGGGGAGCACTGCACCTGTGAAAAAGTGAGGGGAAGACGGAAGGTCAGTGATAAATAGCTAACAGCTGTAATTTGCTATGTAAGCACTGTGCATACACGATTTTATGTGAACGATTCAAGTTGGTTCTTGTATTACCACCATTTTGCAGATTAACAGGTGCAGAGAGATTAACTGGCCTTAAGAGCACTTACCTTGGAAATGACAGGCCTAGCTCTCACCCTGATTTTTTTAAAACTAAATTCTGCACCAGGTTCCTACAAAACTTGTATAGCATCAGAGGGTACAAATGTTGGTCAGATCATCAATAGATATTCTGTAAATAGACAACTGTAAAAACATTGTGACTGTAGGACATTTTTTCATTATAGTTACAGATTTATGGATTCATCTATGATCATTCTCAAGTATGGACTAACTCATGATTTCTTGTTCTGGTTAGGGCCTTAGGACATTTATTTCCTTTTCTAAATCTAGAAAACATACTCTCAGCCAGGAGAACCACTGCTGAAAACTAGCTTCAAAATACACTGGTGTTATTTTGGTTAGCAGAGGAAAAAAATTCTTTAGCTTTCCTTCAAAGGGTTTTTGAAGCAGAGGCTTCTGCAGAGGCTTGCAGGACTCTGGGAGGGACAGGGTGTGCCCAGATCAGTCTTTCTTATCAAGCTCAGCAGGCTCTATTCTTAGGCTGAGCCACCCTGTAGTCAGACCAGGCTTAGAGATGATATGGTGGGACTATTTTTAGTTGCAGGTTTTGTGCCAACTGGTGGAACTAGAGGAACAAAATTCTCCATTGCATAAGCAGATTCCAGAACATTCTCTTTCATTTATCCATTCATTCTCTATTAAGAGCCATGTGTCTGACACTGAACTAAGTGCTGGTAATCAAAGGTAAAAAGCTAACTCCTAAAGCATAGCAGCATTGTTCTAAGTGCCTTAGAGCTTAAGTCACTTAATTCTCTCAGTCCCCATATGAACTGGTACTATCAGTATCCCCATTTTACAAATGAGGGAACTAAGGCATCAAAAATCCAAGGATTTGTCTGAGACTATGGTTTAAGTGATGGATAGGATATGGCTCTAGACACCGCAGCTCCAGAACCACTATGGGACAGTACTTCTCCAAAGGTAAATCTTTTCAATGATTCAAGTCTAGGCAGATAGACATTTAATACATGAACTATGATGTATCTCAAGATATTTGAGTGATTCAGATTTATGATTGTTTGGTGGAGGGGGTAAATTTTTTGACATTTCCAGATTGAGATGCCTATAGCTAATCCAGGTAGAAAATCTCAGAAGCATATTAGAAGGGAAAAGATGCAAAGCTAGATGCCAGTTTTTTGTAAACATGAATTTGTGAAAACTGCTTTTTGCTCTGGGAACACATAAGCCTGGCATTAGCTCATTGCACATTCTAACATTCTAATGCATTAAAGAAGTAATGGGGAAAACTGGCTTATTCCTTGGGGTGAAAAAACCTGCTGATACTTAAATGTGACATTTTTACAAAAGGTGTTCCCCCAAAGCCATTCAATGTTCTGCTTTTCAACTTGAATGCATTTTTCTCCTCCATGAACACAGGCTAATGTTGAGAACTGACTGTGTAAATGAGCTGCTGTGTTCTGAACTCAAGCAGTGCTGAGTAGACAGAAGAAAATACCGATTGTCATCCTCGCTCACTTTGCCCTCAGCTAAATTTCTGATGATTATTGCCCTGCCAGGTTTTCTGAATCTACCTTGACTTCCTATCACTGCATGACTCTTGGGAAGAACACACATTCACCCTCTCTGAGGCCTCGGTGGCATGTCCGTGAGGATTACAATTTAGATATTCCTGCCATTAGGTAACGTTTCATTGAAGTTAGAAACTCAATTGAAATCCACTCTCAGGAACAGGTCTCGAAGGGAGAAGAGAAAGGAAACCACATAGCTGAATGGAAGAGGAGGGCCACAGAATGGGAAGTGGGCACAGGGAGCCAGGGCTGCCGGGAGCTGGGGAGGAGTTTCTGAAAAGCAAAGGGTTAGCACTGCCATTGGAAGGCCACCTTTTGGCATGCTGAATTTTCTGCCTTGGCCAACTACAAATTTCTATTTTTAGGGACTGCTTACATAAATAAAAATTAGAAAGCCTTTCATCATAAGAATTCCTCTCTTAAGTTTCAAAATATTTCACATACTTCCCAAGAAAATCTACAATAAATAAAAGGTTTGAGATTTTCAGAATCTTGTGGGATTTCAGTATTTTCTTAGCCCAGTAAAAAACAAAAGAGGTTGCAAATATACAGAACCCAATATACGTATAAGTTACAAGTGAAACATGTCCTTGCCCCCAGCTACTTACATTACACTTCTTACAGATACATCCCATTTATGAGGTAGTCGGATTCCTCAGATGTAATGGGACGAGCTTTTTTAAGTTTCTGCTTCACCAGTCTCAGTCTGCAAGCAACCATGAGAAGCAGCAAAGCAGTGATGGTCAGACCCAGTGACAGGGGGAGCACTGCACCTGTGAAAAAGTGAGGGGAAGACGGAAGGTCAGTGATAAATAGCTAACAGCTGTAATTTGCTATGTAAGCACTGTGCATACACGATTTTATGTGAACGATTCAAGTTGGTTCTTGTATTACCACCATTTTGCAGATTAACAGGTGCAGAGAGATTAACTGGCCTTAAGAGCACTTACCTTGGAAATGACAGGCCTAGCTCTCACCCTGATTTTTTTAAAACTAAATTCTGCACCAGGTTCCTACAAAACTTGTATAGCATCAGAGGGTACAAATGTTGGTCAGATCATCAATAGATATTCTGTAAATAGACAACTGTAAAAACATTGTGACTGTAGGACATTTTTTCATTATAGTTACAGATTTATGGATTCATCTATGATCATTCTCAAGTATGGACTAACTCATGATTTCTTGTTCTGGTTAGGGCCTTAGGACATTTATTTCCTTTTCTAAATCTAGAAAACATACTCTCAGCCAGGAGAACCACTGCTGAAAACTAGCTTCAAAATACACTGGTGTTATTTTGGTTAGCAGAGGAAAAAAATTCTTTAGCTTTCCTTCAAAGGGTTTTTGAAGCAGAGGCTTCTGCAGAGGCTTGCAGGACTCTGGGAGGGACAGGGTGTGCCCAGATCAGTCTTTCTTATCAAGCTCAGCAGGCTCTATTCTTAGGCTGAGCCACCCTGTAGTCAGACCAGGCTTAGAGATGATATGGTGGGACTATTTTTAGTTGCAGGTTTTGTGCCAACTGGTGGAACTAGAGGAACAAAATTCTCCATTGCATAAGCAGATTCTAGAACATTCTCTTTCATTTATCCATTCATTCTCTATTAAGAGCCATGTGTCTGACACTGAACTAAGTGCTGGTAATCAAAGGTAAAAAGCTAACTCCTAAAGCATAGCAGCACTGTTCTAAGTGCCTTAGAGCTTAAGTCACTTAATTCTCTCAGTCCCCATATGAACTGGTACTATCAGTATCCCCATTTTACAAACGAGGGAACTAAGGCATCAAAAATCCAAGGATTTGTCTGAGACTATGGTTTAAGTGATGGATAGGATATGGCTCTAGACACCGCAGCTCCAGAACCACTATGGGACAGTACTTCTCCAAAGGTAAATCTTTTCAATGATTCAAGTCTAGGCAGATAGACATTTAATACATGAACTATGATGTATCTCAAGATATTTGAGTGATTCAGATTTATGATTGTTTGGTGGAGGGGGTAAATTTTTTGACATTTCCAGATTGAGATGCCTATAGCTAATCCAGGTAGAAAATCTCAGAAGCATAGGGAAGAGACTATTTCAAGAAAACAGAATCAAATGCTAAGGAGAGATCAAGTGGGGTGAAGCCAGAAGAGGACACTGGATTTAGCAATCAGAAATTCACCTATACGGAGACAGGGAGAACACTGAGGGACACTATTGTGTTTTTTTCTGTATTGAGGGAGATCTGAGTGTGTCAGTAGCTGTTGGGAGAATGAGCCGGTAGAGAAACAGAAAACACATGAGGGTTAATAAATGCTGGGGAAACATACCTGAGGAGATAAGGGGGCTGCATCAAGGTTAGGTGGATAGACTGACCTTGGAAAGAGGGGAGCCTTTTCCCTTAGTACTGATGGGAAGGAACAGGGTGGGTGCAGGCAGACGAGTGTTTATGTTAGGGGGTAGGAAGTTCACTCTGCTTGTTCAGCACAGGAAAATGATTAGAGGCCACCCTTCTACACACGTGTCACTTGTTTAAAGATGAAAACCAGTGTTTGGGCTGCAGGGGAAGGGAGCAGTGGCTGAGGATTCCAGTCCCGAGTCTGGGGCTCAGATTTACTAACAGCAACAAAGCAGACATACTCTAAGGGCATTTTCTCTTTGCCAAGTCAGATGTTAGGTTGCTGAACTATCAAATATGATTCCTGATGAATGCTTTGATGATGCAGGAAATTAAATCTCCCATAAAGTACTTGCTAGAATACAAAAAATTAGGTTGTTGACTCTCTGTAAAGAGCTCCGCCCAGTGCTCTGCGCACGACATGGTGGCAGGGCTGCAGGAGAGCAGAGCAGAGGCTGGAGTGGTAGCAGTGCGAAGGACAGAGGCCCAGATGATGGCTGTGTGGGACGGCTGTGCGGACAGAGGGGCCCAGAGGGAGAGACCAGCTTGCTGCATGCAGACTCACTCACGGGATTTTAGTGACTGACCTGCCACCTTGAAATAAAGTTGGATATGACCCTTTCACCCCAAGAATGTTCCATTGTCATTTCTTTGGTCACACTGATTCCATAGCGAACTTGCCTGGGGCTGAAACCCATTGGCAAGACACGCTCCCAACTCATATGACTAGAATACCCAATTCACCTCCTTAGCTGGTTTCTGAGAAAACTGTGATGTTTTAGAAGCATTGGAAATCTTTAAATCTCAAGTTACCCTAACTAAAAATATGAAAAAAACTATGCCCATGTATTGCCCATGAGCTAGTCAACCACGGCCAGGTGAGATTCCCGGCCACAGGAACTCTCATTTTATCCACACTCCACCCCTCCAGGATTCTCTCCTTTCAATCTATGTGCCCTGAGTCCTCTGCAATGGTCCCTGTGCAAAAGGAAGCTTGAACATTGTTCTCCAGCCTCTCCAGCAAAAAGTCTTGCAGACACACAGGCGGGACTCGTGGCTCTGTCTCTGACCTCTGCCTCTTTGGTCTTAATGGCTGGAACTGCTGCTCTGGTTTCAGCTGTTGCCATAGCTCCAGTAAGATCCTATTTGGCTTCCCGTCTAATTTCCTTCCATCTACTCCTGCCCATATCAAATTGACCCACATCTGGGTCCTCGTAACCCCTCAAATTCCTCCTGT